TCCTGGATGAAGCAGAGGCAGATCGCTCGGCACTGCAAAAGGCTCGGCGACAGCTCGAGGGACGACTTAATGACATCGCCCAACATCACGTCGAAACAAGCAAGATGTCCTCTGACAGGGCATTCCAAGCCATGCATCTCGAAAAGCAAGAATTGCGTAGTGCCCTGGAAGAACAGGAGGATCGGGTCAACATGGCAAATGAAAGGTTGAAGAAGGCGGAGTCATTTGCAAACGACAGCCAGATCGAACTTAATAAAATCCGAGCTGAGAATTCGGAGCTTGACAAGCTCAACGTAAGCTCTTGTCCCGCGATGGTGCATTATCACGCTCAATGTCTTTACAGGCCAACCTGGAAAAACAGGTAAAGGATCTCAACGTCCGTATTGTGGATTTGGAAACAAAGTCATATGCCAGCTCTCCGCGTCCCGTACGGGAGTCTCGACGGCTTGAGTCACGTATAGAAGAGCTGACTAGCAAACTCACACAAGAGTCTAAAGAGAAGAGTGAAACGCTCCGTATGAGTCGTACGGCAGACAAGAGCGTGCGAGACACCAAATTTCAACTAATGGAAAGCGACAGACAGCGCGCACGATTGGAGGATGAGGTCACAGCGTATGAGAAGAAAGTGGGTGATCTCAGGCAGTCTATTGATGCACTGGTGAGCCAAATCATATATTGGTGTATGAAGGCAAGTCATTGATGCTTCCACGTCACGGTAGCAAACATCGGAAAGTGGTCTTCAGCTCGCAAAGCGTAGGGCGGAGCGTGAAGCTGCAGATTATAAAGCACGCTCCCTAGGGTATGGCCTTTGATGATGGTTTTACTTGTTGCTGATATAATATTTTTCCCTCAGCCTGGAGCGCGAACTTGAACGCCTACGCGGCCGACTAGAACGACCGTCCGCTGTAATTTCTCCAGCAAGCTCTCCACGGAAGTATGAGTCATGACGGCCTTGACGACTCTAGATGACACGTACATGTTATGGACAACTCTATCCCTGTGTCTCATTCTGCTTTCTCCTCATTGTCAACTCTCTGCATTTCTCACTCGGAATACAATCCAACGTGTGTTTTCGTATATCTGTATGATACGCATCTGTAATGTTACCAAACAAGCATTCCTGATCTTGTGTCTCCAATGCATGTTGGCTAGAACGGTAATAATTCATCGCAATTATAATTATGTTGTAGAGCTGGTGATGAGCGATACTAGTACAACATCATGTCGGACTGCAGATGACGACAACCAAACTGATACCTGCTCAGACTTAGGAAGTCATTGACTCCTGTATTGAAACCGAGGTCACCGTTTGATAGCTATCCCCAGTGAGCTACTCGACAGTCGATTACCAGTGCTCGATCCAGGTTTAGGTTTTGGAGGAAGTGAAGAAAAACCGACAGGATGCAACACTTTGGCTGGAGTGGATGCGGCGCTGGAAGATGAGAAGTTCATACTTGGACGGCCCTGCGGCAAGCCAGTACTGAGGCTTCCACTCGATCGAGTCGCCCGAAGACTTAATGAACTCGAACTCACGCCCGGCTTGCGTTGCACACCCCCCGCAGGCACTGTGGGCATGGTGGGTAGTAGTGGCTTTGGTGGCAAGGAAGACGGTAAAACAGCGAGAGGCGCAGACGATTCAGGCTTTTGTTCCATTTGGCGAAGCTTGGCTTCTAAGGCGGCAATCTTGTCCTTCGTTCTGAATTAGAAACGGTGAGCCATAGTAAACATAAGAACTAGCCAGTACTTACGCTTCGGGTCGGTTGTGAGTTTTGAGTAAAGAAAGTGTGGTGGGTCGGGATGTATCTGTGCCTGGTCGTCGATTCGGCCGGGAGGAAAGGTCAATCTGAGGCGCCTGAACACCACAAGGTGATTCACTAAGCTAGGACAAACGAAATAAAGTTTAGCAACACACCTGGTTTGCAAATGTGACGACAAGTCTTCGACCCCTTACCAGGCGATCGTGCAAGGCAACCAACGCCCTTAAAGCATCCTAGAGATTTTTGCCTCATTCCAACCACGTACAAACTCGATGCAACAAACTCGATGCAACAGAAATGACATACGTCTTTCGTGGTATACTCGACAAACGCATAACCTCGCGGTTTCCCCTTTGCTGGACCAGTCTTGTGGAACAGAAAATCAAGCTTGGACACTTTGCCGTGTTTGGAGAACAACTGCAGTAGCGTGTATCTTAACAGGAGAACGAAATTACATATCAGAGAATGGACGATACATATCAGAAACGCACTCGTCCACTGATGGGTGTAAATTGCCGACGTAGAGGCGGTCTTTGAGCACCTGAGCGGGTGGGGGTGGTGCAGGAGGTGGAGTTGGTGGCAATGGAGTAGCGGCTGGATATGATATGAATTCAGAAGTAGAAGCTATGGCAGACTCGATGGTCGACATGACTGCTGACAGTGGCTCATGCGGCTCAGGCCCAAATAGGCAAAGATTATCCCAGATGATGATGTAATTCGCTCTCAACATGCCACTGGCACCTCCCTTAAATCTTCCCTTGTGGCTTTCGAATAATTCACATCTCCTAAAGCCTCCCGTAAACAATTTCTGTCTGTACTCTGGTTCTGATTATATTGTAATGGCGGTCGGTGGACCGAACGAACGGAATGACTACCATCTGAATGAAACAGAGGTACCGAAGGATTATCTACGAATTGAATCACATATTAAAAGGTGTCTCTATCTCCAAGGAATGGTTTTACCAGTACAAAGGCAGTATGCTCCTCCGCGTCGTAGATGGCGAAGAATTCAAGGACATTAACATCGGCGAAGGGGAAATGTTCTTGCTCCCTGGTATTACTTACATGATAGCGTGATGGTGTTTTGTATTGACATCCTTTGCGCCAGCGAATACTCCCCACAACCCTGTCCGTTTCGCCGATACTATTGGTTTGGTCATAGAGCGCAAACGTCCTGAGAAATCCATCGGTGTGCCTTCCCATCGGCCATTGTATCTTCACTTTGTTTAACTCCCCTTAGATCGTCTCAGATGGTACTGTCGGTCTAATACGCACTCCAAGCCTACCATCATTCGTGAAGATGCTTTTCACTGCACTGATTTGGGCACACAGCTGAAACCTTTCATCACCAAGTGGATCACTGACCCTGGCGTCCGAAAGTGCCCCGAGTGCGGAGAAGTGGCCGATGCGAAGTAATCGATTGTTGGTTGATGCTCAGATACAGATCTTGGTTTACTGTAATTGCATCGTATATGCGGTACAGGCCAGTGTACAAGAGCTGTAAATTACTGAGACTGTACGTACGTGGACCTTACACAGCCGGAAGCCTGTGACGAAACTAACTGTTCGTAAGGGCAGTTATTGCCGAGAAACGGTATTTTCCCGAGGGCCCGGACCTATATTTATCGGCTCGGCGCGGTGTATATTTCGACCGCACGCTCTCTATCTATAGGTCCCTGTGGCATCCCTTCGCGCGGGAATGACGCCATACCCCAGCCCTGCTCATCCATTGCGCGCGCACGAGGCTATGGTGGCCTGGCAGCTACGATAGTCTGCGCTCGCCGGGTGTCTTCCACGTGGAAGCTCGCTCTTCCCCTCCACCATGGGCTAAGTGACCTATGTATTTGTACATGCGGACCCTTGCAAGCGACGCCGCACCGGTGCTGCACCGGCATGTACTAGTAGTTGAACAGTAACTCAATTGAGCTGAAATGCCAAAGAGTCGTTGAACTAATCATTAAAAACTGGTAAGTGTACAAATCCGTGAAGTCGCTAACATAAAACTACTTGGAACGGTCCAATCAATCCTCTGTGGTCATGGTTCGATCAATCTTTTCGCCAAATCGAGGGATTAAATGGCAGCTGAGCACAGGCAGAGATAGAATAGGACAGGCTGGATAGACATATGTGTCGACGGGCGATTTGTAGAACGCGTCTTACATAGGGCTCGGCCCCAAAAGACGTTAAATTGGATGCAAAAAAAAAAAAAAAAAAAAAAATGGCAGCTGCAGCGAATCGATTGGACGTTCACAACGGGCGCATGGCCTTTGCTTTGGGTGAGTGACATGTGTGCATTTCCGCACCAGTGATGGTTGTCGAAACTTGGAACACCACTCAACATACGCGAGTGGGTGCGGGCGGGTATTCGATGTGAGAGGGCAGGCGGCAGATCGTCCGTACTCGCCAGAGTGGGTGAGTGAATCAGTACAGGTAGAGTTATGCATGGAGACTCACCCAATGCACCAGTCTCTTGCGCATTTGTGCCACAGTGAATCAGCACTGTATCGAAGTGTGCTGGAACAAGGGGTCCTGCGGCTGCGGCGGACTCGGGGCGTGGCTCGGACAACATCTTTAATCACTGTATCGTCAATTTGTTGAATAGAATGGAGCATGAAACTAATGCGTTTACACTTTACACACGTGGAGGCGTGTGGAAATGCTGAGATGCAAGGTACACCTGGGAAGGTAAAACCTGAGGAAAGCAGTCAGCGCAGGGATAAATTCGGTGGGGCCAAATTTATTGATAGTGCTCGACACTGCTGGTGTTCGGAAAGCCGGGACCTTTGGCGATGTGGTATGTTCGGCCCATTGTATCCGCTGGTCCACTTTCTGACTCCGGGGTGCTGCATATGATGCCGGGATGCAACGCACCAAACGGCCAAGATATTCCTCACGATATTCCTCATTCATATCGGCTTCACCAGGGGAGACAGATAATAGGAAGGTGCCAAAGGAATGTAGTTTTCCTTGTCTTGTGAGCCATCGGGTCATCTGGATGCTGAAATCCTTATGACTGATAGTGATAGGATGGCAAATATGGTGAATGAAACAGGTTCCCCTCACAACCTGTCAAAGTGCAGTGCAGAGTAATAATACAATCACAATGAAAAGTCCAGCAAGATTTTCTAATTTGATACTCTTACAGAGGATCTGTGATACATAAAGGTCTCTTGAGTCTCAACTTCCAGTGATAATCTTACGTGATGTATCTCATCATACAATATTTGTGAAGTTACATCATGGGTGCCCATCGATTAGTGGTTAAATCACTTCGTTGTGGATTTTCTGTAACCGAAGAGCCCCGCGTTCGACTCGCGGTGGGCACACTTTTGCGTGGCGTAGTAATGGATACACTATTTTTGACTTCCGTGAGCTTAACAATCACCCCCTTTCCGAGGCGCGTTCCTGGCAAAGCTTCAGAAATGGCCGCCATTAACCGAAGAGCCCCGCGTTCGACTCGCGGTGGGCACACTTTTGCGTGGCATAGTAATGGATACACTATTTTTGACTTCCGTGAGCTTAACAATCACCCCCTTTCCTAGGCGCGTTCCTGGCAAAGATTCAGAAATGGCCGTCATCGTACTACTGGATTCACACACTGACGCAGTCTGCTGTCATCATCGTCATATGATATAGATTATCACAAGAAACGGTCTTCGGATGTTATTCTCAGACATTGCATATAGTACTGGCGTTACCCGTAGGCAAGAAGAGGTAGAAGTGAATTGCCGCGTCATCACATCCTCAAGTCTCGGGAGAGCCCGTCACCATGTACGTGAGAGCTCTGTGCCACTGCAGGCTCAGGAAGATTCCGACGACCGCCTGAACTGTTTTGACGATGTGCAGCATAGCCAGTGCTTGACAGCGGTGCAGACGCGTGATAGATTATAATCGGAACCGATGATTCGAAGTTCTTCTACAGTGAACTCATCGCGGAGTCGACCGACGCGGCATCAGAGGTAATGAATGATGTGAATGTGGGCTGGTACATTGATCGGAATGGAGATGAATGATTCCCTCAACAACCCAAAGTGAACTTCGGCCCCGCGCAGCAGCATCCTTTGAAGTCACTGTGGCAGGATCAATCGGAACTGACATACCTTTACCGACTGCGGTACGTGAAGGCAAACATCAGCAACGAGCCAGTTCTCACCAGACTGGGAGTGACCGACGCGAAATGAAGCAGCAACTAACCGCACCGTGAGTGTTCATCGAACGCTTCGAAATGTGGGCACGATGTGCCCCGTTTCTGATACACAAGTTTCCGGGAGTCGATTAGCCGTGTTATGCCCAGGAGCCACGGTCATAAAGGAACATAAAGGAAGTATGGCTGAGACTTGGCCGCGAACATCACAAAGCGTTTAGATACTGTAAGGCCTAGAGCACAAAACATTAAATCTTACTGTTGCAAGAAAACCACCATAGGATGTGTTTGTAATATCGCGGCGGAGACCAGCAGACCAGGACCTGCGCAGCGAAGATGAAAGACGGGAAAATGGGAACGACGAACGGAAGTACTTCATCAACTACCAACAAACCGACATACTGCCGATGGAGTGTGAGATGTCGCATCGTCCGTGGCATTCGGCGATGTCATTGAGATCCTTCCCAAAGTTTTGATGGTCGAAAATTTCTGGCTTACTAGCGACGCGCCTGACCCGCCGGGTCAAAAAAAAATCGAACACATCCTGACGATTAGGGCGCTTCAGCGCGATGTTGTAGCGTGCTTCGATGGCAGCCTGCGCACACTGGAAAGAACAGTAAAGGGGAATGTTAAAACGGCCTTCGCCTGTAAAGTCGCTTTAGGAGGATTCCCGCTAAGTAGCAGTAACCAGACGACCCGAATCGCCACACCACAGCAGTATGTAGGTATACGTCGGTAAGCAACCGGCCGGACGAGACCGTCGGCAACAACCGACCCTGGACTCGCAGTTTTTTTTCAAATAGGGACGGAATGGTGCAGAGCCATGCGGTGATTTGGGGTTTACCCAGGGGTGCTGCCGGCCTACTGAACATCAGACGGTGAATTGCAGAGAGATCTGGGCCCAGGGATTATATTAGTCAATCTTGAATGTTCCAAGGTATGCTCTTCTGAGTAGCTTGTCTGACTTGTTCCAAGAGTTGCTACGATTCTACCATAGAGTAATTTCTGGCCCTGCAGGACACGCAAAAGAAGTGGCATGGTAGAGCTACCCCCTTGGCTTGTGAAAGGATGAGTGAATTATAAGTGGTATGCACTCGCTGAAGTTGATAAAAAATACTCGGTATGTTCCGTCTCGGCTTGTCCCGCACTTTCCTCGGTATGTGCCGTGAAGACCTTGGATCGCCGTGGCTGCTTCCCAGACCAGAAAGGCGAAGAATCTTGGTGTTGCTGATCTTAAACACCATCTTCAGTATATAAGGCACACTCGCCACCAATGTCTTTCGTTCCCTCACCCTGCTCGTCCTGTTGGTAATGGAGGCCAACTTGTGAGACAATCAGGCTCATTTATTTGCAATATGCTGAGACTAATATCACCTTTCCAGGTCAAATGTGTTTGTAGGCGGTTCCTCGACACATCCTGAGCGGCGAGTTGCTGACTATATATTCTGTGGGTATGAAAGTTGGACGTTGAAATCAACCACGAATATGTAGGACGAATCGTGCTCCGTCTCTATGTGAGGCCACTCTCTACTGTTGTTCTGCTGCGCTTTGACACTGTTTAGGATGACATTGCACCAAAAACCTCCCGCAATTTTCGAGAACTTGCTACTGGTCAGAATGGGTTCGGTTATAAGGGGTCAGTCTTTCACCGTGTTGCAGACGTAGGTCCTTTATGTGCTGCGTCATCACTTTACTAAGCTGGTGCATCTTCACCGTAGTTCATGGTACAGGGTGTGTGTGTCTCCGCATGAAGTCCAATCGAATCTCATCCCTTTTGATCCGTAGGAGGTGACATCGAGAACGGAGACGGTACTGGTGGACGAAGTATATACAGCAGACCATTTTCCGGTTTGTGATGGTCTACCTCCACCTCCTTTGGCTCACAGTTGTGAATGCACCCATAGACGAGACCTTCCTTGTCCAGCATCACAAGCCCGGTCTTCTGGCAAGTGCTAATCGTGGGCCTAACTCAAATAGTTCGCAGGTACAGTCACGTTCTCCCTCTATGTTGAGGTCGTATGACCTCCCACCAGTTTTACATTACGAGCTGTCCGTGCCCATGGCTTGATCGGCGCAATGTTGTCTTCGGGGAAGTCCTGGAAGGTCTACAGGTTGTGCACACGATTCAATCATATGCTTCGGATCACATCTCTCGGAAGCCCTCAGCCAAGATCACGATACGCAATTGTGGAGTTGTCTAGGCATCGCTCTACGTTATCTCAGTCCCATAGCCATTGGCCTCCCACCCTCAGGTTTGGGGCCAGCGCTGTAGCCAAAATATCAACGCACATCTTTCGGACTGTGTTTATCTGCATTCTCTCCCTCATTACACTCACATCTTGATATATTGTCCAAATGCCACCGTGCTGCTAGCCCCCCAGTACCCCAGATTCTCTGATCATATATAATTATAGCATCGTCGATTGATCCCGCGGTATCCTCGTAAACTCTCAGGGTATGTTTAGAAATGCACGATTGGCAACATCGGTATCGATTGGTCGGAAATGAACAGCTACCGGGAGCGAACCGTGGCAGGCACCTTCCGTGGATCAGTTGGCAGTGTTCCAGTATCTTGATAGATGGTGTGATGCGTGGGGATAGAAGTACTGCAGCAAGCGTGTCACTGACAATTCTGGACGCTGCCTGCCAGTTTTGATTCGGTATGATGGGCGTGGTTGGCTACTGATGGAATAATCTTTTAGGGTTGCCATGCTGTCTTCTACGGGAGACGCGCGGTCCGCAAAAAGGAAAAGGCAAACCACATTGTAAGTTTGCGTTCCGGTGTTGGCTATGAAGGAGTCAAAAAGTGTGTGCCCACCGCGAGTCGAACGCGGGGCTCCTCGGGTCACAAAACCACAACGAGGTGATTTAACCACTAATCGATGGGCACCCTGGCGTTCCCGATCGCCTATTACCGCCATAACACCAATTCTTTAAGTATAGACGCGATGTCACGTGACCCAGATTGATTTTTCCAAGCGACAGTACTTTCTACCGATTTCACGTTGCAACAGGAGGCTAGCGTGGGCGAGGTGAACATGGAGGCACTCATCTCACGAGCTGACGCCATTCTCCCACTGACCAAAAAACGCAAATCGTCCTCCTCAGCCTCAGGCACTCACGGTGTGGTCAAATCTCGTCCCGCCAAAGTGAGCTCTCGCAGTCCCAAATCTCAAGCTCGATCCCGCCATTCTAAAGGGAAAGACCGGAACGTATCTGAGACCGTTTCTATTCCCGATGCTACACTTTCTTCTGTCGCGCGACGAACGACTATTCCTCCCTCGCTTTTGCCTCCTCCCGATCCGTCGACCCAGGTCAAACGAAAGCAGGAGCAGGAGAAGGATGCATTCCCCCATATCTCAGATAAAAAACTGAAAGCGCGGTTGAGTTCTCATCGCTCGCTAGCCGCCACTCGCTCAATGCAGGTTACCGACGCAGCCCTGCTCCTACCCACATCTGCGGGTCTCATTGAAGCAACCGACCCCCTTGATCGTACTTGGAAAGTTACGCAAGGGGATCTTTTGCAAAATGAGGGCGTTGGCAGAGAAGCGGCTGCTGGTCGGAGAGAGCTTGTCCTGGACGGCGGGGCTGGTGGAGGATTCAAGACACGCTGGACCAGGAATGGGCGCCATACCGTCATGGTGGGGAGAAGAGGTCGCCTCGCGAGCGTGGATTGGATGACAGGCAGTGTTCACGCAGAAATTCAACTTAAAGAGACATGCAGGGACGTAACGTGAGTACGTCTAGCTTATCCATGGAATTCTTGGTGGAGAATGTTGCAGATATTTGCACTCCCACCATCATGTGGCTGTTGCGCAGTCACGTCATGCATTCATCTACGATCAGAATCTGGTCGAACTACATCGCCTGTCTGCCTTGATAGAACCGGCATTCTTAGAATTTCTGCCGTATCACTGGCTTCTCGTGTGTGCGGTGTGTACCATTCTGCCGACCTTCTTGGCCATCACCGCAGTTAACAAGTCGCGGTTTTAGGGTCTGCCGGGAACATTATCGTACCTTGATACGTCCATGGGAACTATCGTAGCACAGCATCGCCCTAAGCTTGGACCTCCAACGGCACTTTCTCAGAATACGCACAATGCAGTTGTTTATTGGGGAGCAGGAAACGGTGTGTTGATGGACATGGCGTTATGCTTCAAATTCGCAGCGACCATGATGTTC